GCAGTCGAATTCCGGGACAATAAAAGCTTTACATAAATTTACTAAATATGCTGCTAAAATGCAGGTGTGGGCACAGGAACGTCGAGAGCCAGCACGGGCCCACTTTCTCTCTCTCTCTCTTTTTAACATTTTCAAGAATTTATTAAAAAGAAGATCTTAAATTAGGACAGCAACGAGCTCGTAAACCAGACAAAATCATAGCAGCAGCCTTTTTTATTTCACAGTATAAGCGTAAAAACGATAATAAAGTAACAACAAATATTTATTAAATCTATAAAGTAACAAATACGTATTAATTATTACTCAAATTATTATTTCAGTCGTTCTTAATGTATCAAGCGTCTATATGCAAAGAAAAGCCAAAAACTATGGTTTTTTATCATTAAATGAAGATATAGCCTAAAGATGCTTTGCGGGTTTTACGGCATAACCAGGTTTCATTCGCCCGGGCCCCTGGCCAGTTGCCCCCCTTATGATGGGCCTGTGTGGACACAGCACAGATAGCCCGTCGTGTAGCTTTGTGCTTAACTACAAACAAAGAAAAGAGAGAAACTAAATATTCTATTATGAATATTTGTAAGCAGAGGAGAAAAAACAAAAAATAATCAATACATTACAGTAGCACAATGTCACACCAGTTCTACACTGAAAATATTTCTGTCTAGGACTAGATAATCGGCCGTCCAGTGAAACATTCTTTATTCAAAACTAAAACACTCTAGTAACAATGATACAATAACATTTTCTTTCTTTAACTTCTTTACGTACACTCTCAAAAATTCACAATATGGGTGGAGGAATCCCGGGGTCTTTAGTTGTATGTGGGCTCTGGGCCCGGGCCCATGCGGTGAAGCCGATCTTGCTCTAATCTATTATCGTTACATCACTGTGTGTTCATGCTTAAAAAATTGAAAAAAAGACCGAAATAACATGTGACAACGATGTGTTCATCAAAAGGTTGGAGTTCCGCTACATAATTTTTCTTATTTTAAGTAGAATGTTTTGTAGTCGTCTGTAAATGGTGATATCCTGTAGTGAGTTGTAATTTCTTGTTCGTTAAATGTAGACAGATCACCCTAGTGTTGACCGTGTTATACTAGATGTTTACCATATGAAGCTTAAAAAAGAAGTTGAAATTATTGCAAGGGAAAGATGTATATACATATATGCTTGAAACTTGATATTGTATGTAGTGTACATCTCCTTCCTAGGATGGTGACATTGTAGCATGTAGTGTACATGTTCGTTTGCTAGGAGGTTGACATTGTGGCATGTAGTGTACATATTCGTTTGCTAGGAGGGTGACATTGTGGCATGTAGTGTACATATTCGTTTGCTAGGAGGGTGACATTTGGGCATGTAGTGTACATCTTCTTGCTAGGAGGGTGACATTGTGGCATGTAGAGTACATATTCGTTGGTTAGGAAAGTGACATTGTGGCATGTAGTGTACATATTCGTTTGCTAGGAGGGTGACATTTTGGTATGTAGTGTACATATTCGTTTGCTAGGCGGGTGACATTGTGGAATGCAGTGTACATCTCCGTTTGCTAGGAGGGTGACATTGTGGCATGTAGAGTGCATATTCGTTTGCTAGGAGGGTGACATTGTGGCATGTAGTGTACATATTCGTTTGCTAGGAGGGTGACATTTGGGCATGTAGTGTACATTTTCTTGCTAGGAGGGTGACATTGTGGCATGTAGTGTACATATTCGTTTGCTAGGAGGGTGACATTTTGGTATGTAGTGTACATCTCCGTTTGCTAGGAGGGTGACATTGTGGCATGTAGAGTACATATTCGTTTGCTAGGAGGTCGACATTGTGGCATGTAGAGTGCATATTCGTTGGCTAGGAGAGTGACATTTTGGCATGTAGTGTACATCTCCGTTGGCTAGGAGAGTGACATTTTGGTATGTAGTGTACATATTCGTTTGCTAGGAGGGTGACATTTTCGCATGTAGAGTACATATTCGTTTGCTAGGAGGTCGACATTGTGGCATGTAGAGTACATATTCGTTGGCTAGGAGAGTGACATTTTGGTATGTAGTGTACATATTCGTTTGCTAGGAGGTCGACATTGTGGAATGTAGTGTACACATTCGTTTGCTTGGAGGGTGACACTGTGGCATGTAGAATACATATTCGTTTGCTAGGAGGGTGATACTGTGGCATGTAGAATACATATTCGTTTGCTAGGAGGGTGATACTGTGGCATGTAGAATACATATTCGTTTGCTAGGAGGGTGACATTGTGGCATGTAGTGTACATATTCGTTTGCTAGGAGGGTGACATTTTGGTATGTAGTGTACATATTCGTTTGCTAGGAGGGTGACATTTTCGCATGTAATGTACATATTCGTTTGCTAGGAGGGTGACATTTTGGTATGTAGTGTACATATTCGTTTGCTAGGAGGGTGACATTTTCGCATGTAGTGTACACCTCTGTTTGCTGGGATAAAGATATTATGACCTGTAGCGCACAGTTCTGTTTGCTAGGATGGTGATGTTATGCCATGTAGTTAAAGTGCTAAAGCATGCGCACCGTAGCTAGTAGCAGACGGGTCATTGCCTTCTCAGTGAACTTACTAGTGTAGTATTTCATTTTAGATTAGGATTAATTGTGTTTGAAATAATTCCTTTTAGTTCCATACTCTGTAGGTTTATAATCAGCTCTTTTTTTAATTCTGTAAATTTATCTAGGATCTGCTGTTTGGGGGGAAACTTATTGTTATAATTCGAGTAAAAGAACCAGGAACTTCTTTGTACATACATTTGAAAAAGTAGGTTAGGTTATTGCTTTGTTTGGTTTTTCCTCCTAGCCCAGGCGTTTAGTCCGCGTCAATCCAGCCGGTAGCTGATTCATGATGCTGGTCTTTGTGTTAATTGTATATAGATGTTTATAAGAAATGGAGCCAACTTTCACGTGTAATTAATGAGTCACATATCTGCTTTAAAGTCCTTGGAAGAAAAACCCGAAGGTTATTTGGCTTAAGAAGTGTGTGTTAACACTCATAGAAACGGTTGTAGGACAATTGTACCCCTCAATCATAACAAACATTGTAGAAGATTTTCAAAACCGCAATTTATTGGACTTTTTGAGAGGAATAGCCCATAGGTTATAGTTCTAGTGTACTTAAGTTATATAACTTTGCATAGTTCAACATTTTTATTTTATTACAATAAACAAAATGTAACATGAAACTTGCGTTATTTTCTCCTATTTAAAGTTTTAGATAATTCATTGTTTTATGAAATACAAGTAATACGTTTTTCTTTCCTATTTTAGTCTGTTATATTAATATAATAAGATATGGAAGCGGGGGGGGGGGCAACTTTCCTACTGGGACAGTTGTCAGGTTACTCATAAAAACGTTCTTCAGTTGTTGTAGCGTACTTCTGCGTACTGTTGCATATGTTTAACTAAATTTCATTGCGCGCGGTGGATTAACCATGACATTTCTGAATAATCTGCTTGTGCTGATCTGAATAAAACCTCACCCTCGCAGGTTGCGCACAACAACCAAATTCACCCTCGCAGGTTGCGCACAACAACCAAATACCCATCCTCACAGACAGCTGCTTGTGCTTTGTGTAAAAGTTTCAATAATAAACACTGATGCTACACAAGCCCAATTTGATGTGTGAAAGTTCGGATAAAGAAAATTTGAGTTAAATTTTCAGTAGACTTCATTTAGCAGTTAAAAATAGGACATTGTTTCACTCTTCGTTCTTTTCCTATAGGTATTATTGGTGCTGCTTGTAGATGAGTAAGCCAACTAATGGGTCTACAAGGTGAATAACACCGAAACTGGTCACAACGTCTCCAGTGCAGATGATTACTTGCTTTAGAGGATATATAAATTATGTGTGTGTTTTTTTTCTTACTGTTATAGGAGATGTTAGTTTTTTTTATTGCTTATAATGGTCTTAATAAATTGAAAAACTGTGTGGGCGAAAATTACTTTAGATACAGAACTAACTAGCATTACATGTTTTTACTCTGTCGTTAATGATTGTGTTCAACAGTTAGATAATTCTCACATTATTAAAAACTAGCTATCAGGGTTACAGGATCACTGTCATCTTCGGAGCTCAATTCGTAACCTTCTGGACTCTGCTAATTACCGGAGACGGCAGGCAGGCACTTACAACTTACTTCAGATTAAATAAGAAAAAATAATTTTAGCTTAATGTTTCGAAGTATACGATCCACACAAACGCACGCATTAATAAATAAACGAAGTACTTCTATGGGGCTCGCTCCCAGTGGCACAGCGGTATGTCAACGGATTTATAATCCTAGAAACCGGGTTTCGATACCCGTGGTGGGCACAGCATAGGTATGGTACTTTGTAAATCGAGCTTCTGATTTTTAACATATCTATGTTACTTTGTGTGTATGTATGTTGTAAAAATAACTTTTCTTTTCTGATATGAGGGAAGTCTTCATATATTAGCCAATTTCTTAGCCGCGTTTTATGAGCAAGTGTTCTGCGGCCCTATTAGATATTCCAATATTTTTATGATCCTCTAACAATAATCGTTCTCATTATGGATCAAGCTAATGCGCTGTTGTGTTAATTTAAATACATTTTCATTTTCGAAATATTTTAATTTTGTTGTAATGATGTTTTATGTAGGTATTTACTTTTGAACATAATGTTTTTATTTTATTTTTTAATGGGGCAATGAAATGTTTAACCTTTAAGGAATTTTATATGAAACCAGGAATATAGATATTGCAATGTGAAAATCTGAACTTGTATAGCCTCTGCAATTGAAAAATTTACACCTCATATTTTGAATTCGTAAATCCACTGCGGTAGCTAAAAACGAATACACCCCAAAACTTGAGACATAGAACACACAAAAACATTTTTGACTAGTCTCCTCAAGTTTCCATCTTTCAAAAAGCCAACACAAATTTCACTTATATATATATATATTTTTTTTTTGACATTACAACGTAACGTTTATCACTTTTCTTTTTTATACTTAGGGGCAAATTTGCCACTGTTCGTCGCTGCAAGCACAAAGAAACCGGTGTTGAGTATGCCGCAAAATGTATTCGAAAACGACGTCGTGCGGCGGATGTTCGTCACGAGATAATGCATGAAATGTTTGTTTTAAAACTCAGTGACAGTTGTCAACATATTATTCATCTTCATGAAGTCTACGAGACGTCATCTGAAGTTATTCTGGTTTTGGAAATGTAAGTATTCAGGGTAACCTCAAGGCATCAGAAATATCAATAATATCTGACTTCTAAATGCGTGTTTTAATGCCACAGATCAGTAGCTTTTACAGAATTATTACTAACAACTGTATTTAAGCCTTGTTTTTAAATTAATTCGAAGTTTAATTGTGGTTGTTATTTTTCAGGGCGGCAGGTGGCGAGTTACAACGTGTTCTGGATGACCAAGAAGTGATAGCCGAAACAGAGGCATCTCGTGTGATGCGGCAGATTCTAGAGGGAGTAGCTTTTTTACATCAGCGTGGTATCGCTCACTTAGATATAAAGGCACGCCAAACCTATTATACTATCATGACTCTAACTAGAATACATTTCCACACAAAAACGGGACGTTGTTATGCAAAAGTAACCTAACCCACAAACCCCAAAAACGGTTTTTCATATTTTTGGGACCAAACAAATGCTAGTCTTTCTTGTGAAAAAGTACATAAACCCAATCTCTTTAGACCGATGCTATAACTATAAATTGGGAAATACCAACCCACACTTGTGCTATCTAGGATTTCAGTTTTGCAAAAATGACCTATGTGAGATAAGGTCATAAATAGCTATGAAAAAGCGCAAAATAGTTGTGCATTCGGCATAGTAAATAATACTTCATAATGCTAGTGTATGCATTACAATAGTTTATATAAATATGAACCTTCAAGTTTAGATCATCATTGATGAGGTGGACAGTTTTGATGGAGAGATGTATTTCGATATTGAGAAGTATTAACCTTACTTCCCTTACTTCAAGAGCTACAACAGTAACTAATTATTAGAATGAAAATACTTGTTTTGGCAGTTGTTTTTTGTATAATTCTCTAAAAATGTATTGAAATCTCGACTTTTTTTTCTTATTTTGTTTCTTGACAACTTAAAAAAAAATAGCAGTAATGGGAAATCTGCGTTAAACAATAATGAATAGTTTACTGGTTTGAAAATGTTATGTTCTAACACATAACAGTGATCTCCATTGATTAAAATTAAAATACGTGTCTGGTATTCATTACTGATTTTTTAAAAGAAAGCGAAAAGTTTTGCTTATTTAATCAAATCTATGATTTGTAGGTCAGGTGACTATTGCTTAACAACGCCCATTTAAGGTTTTTCGTCTCTTGTATTTGATGTTTCACGAGTGGTTGTAAAATATCAACGTAAATGTTTTCTCGAGTCTAAATGATATTTTTTTTCTTTCAGTACTGTAATAGGGTATTGAGCTAAGGTATATCAGTTTATTGTTTTTGAAACTACTTAAGTGGCTTGGTATATTCGAAAGAAAATGTACATCAAACAATCATCTATTAATGTGGGTTTGAACTCTTTCTACAACTTGCTCATCGTATAAGAAAAATGTTCAGTTTGCTGAATATTTATGTTTCTGCAGAGAGACATACTGTTTTTATATTGTTTCTCCTTTCTTTTCATTCCAAACCACCATTCAAAATTGGCCATGTTGGGATTTCATGGCGAAGACATGTTGCATTCGCCTTTTTAATTTCTTCTTCATCTTCGTTATCATTAGGAACGTAATTGAAACGAAAAACATCAGCATATAGTAATTATGAAACGTGCTTTGTGTAGCAGTGTTTTTGAGTTGTTTCCCCCCCCCCCCCCCCGGAAGCCGATGAGCGTTGCTTCGCAGCTAGAAAAAAAAGAGGTATATTCCGCCTTTTCTTAGAGTGATATTGGCAGAGAAAAAAGAAGTAAGGAAATGTTCACATGTAAAAGTTTTATAAAGAAGGAAGTAGTCTGGAAGTAACTGAAAACAAATTTGCCTTTTGAACCCTTTCTGCAAAATAGTTGATGATGAGTAAATAGAATTAATGTAAAACAACTGATTTTTTAGGGCTTTTAATTGGTTAGTTATTCATGGAATGTACATTTATTTTCCTCATAAATGTAAAGTGGGTGTTATAATTATCATTCAACATTCAAGGCTACAAATCATATACTGGGTGGGTGGTGGGGTTAATGAATTACGTTCAATTTAACCCTACAATTGCTGATAGGATCTGAAACAATTTTCTTGATAATTGTACGTGTGCAAGGGAAGGAAATCAAAAAGAAGAAAAAGAGTACTGTCGTTATGTTTGCTATAATGTTTAAAATTGCGAACGAACTACAAAAAAATGACGAAATTAATTATTTTGAATATTTCTGTTGCTGAAATTATGCATATTACGAAGCGTACTATAAGTAAATGTTTGTTTAATGTCATAGACATGAAGACTAAGGAATTCATTAATATGATACACATACATACCAAGAAGACAGCATAATATGTACCTCATCAGTGTTAGAGCTACTTGGACAGTACAGTTTATATTTAGATAATTTAGTTCTTAAGATGTCCACTAGGATAGCTACGACTTTGAAATAGTCTTCTTTAGTTATACAACAAGATGAAACAAGGAAACTGTTTATTGATTAATTTAGAAGAAAAAATTATAAAGTACCAGCAGATAAACAGAAAGACTGCTATGATCATTTTAACATACCTTCATCCAGTTTTTCAATTTATGCTGAAGGGTTTCCACCTCACTAAATTTCAAACTATAGTATAGTTAACAGGTGTCGATGCTTTTTGAACCATTAAGGAAACCAGAAATTAATTTATACATCCCATGAAACCGGATTTGAGCTGTGTTAAAATCTTGTCTAGCTCGCTGGTGTTCGGTTTTCTTTCCGAAACCTTAATATTGGTGAAAACTATTGACCTTCTTGTATCATTTTAGTATCAAGTCTTCACTTGGTAACAAGCAGGACTGAGCTATATTAACAAATACAGTGCTCGAGTTCTAAAACAAATTATATCACTTCAATAATAGTTAATCTACCAGTGTTTTTGATATAATGAAAACGGCCAAAACGAAGAATTTAAACAATAAGTAAACAAAATATCGTCTTAAACTTAAAAAAAAAAGTTTAAAACTGGTTTCTGCTATCCATTGTTTCTTCATCAAAACTAATCACTTGATCATATTGCCCCCCGGTAGCTCGTGGTAAGTCTTAGGGATCATACCGCCCCAAACCGGGTTTCGATATTTGTGGTGGGCACAGCACAGATAGCCCATTATGGTGCTTTTTGCTTAACAGCAAAGAAACAAACTGATCATACTGTACTGTAGGTGTGTGCTACAAGGGCGTAAATAGTAACTACCCAATGCACTTCGGGTGTAACAGAGCAAACAGTAAAGAAAGAAATACAGACAGTACCAAGTTACCATTTGCTTCACCGACGGTGTGCATTAGTTCATTTTAAGGAATAGGATTGTTTACGTATTTATTTGGTTCTTCACATCCGGTTTTTAACGAGTCTAAAGGAAAATGTAAATTGAATCACATATATATATGAAAAATATTGCATGCACACAATAAATCGACAAAAATACCTAATGTTTCATTCCGTTTAATACTCGGGAAGCATGAGTAACATCCCAGAACGAAGGGACGATATTATTTGATGCGTTTTCATATGTGTGTGTGTGTTTTCAATTTCGAACATATATTTCTCTCAAAAAGGTTTTTATTAATTGTCAAAAAACGTTCCAAAATGTGCTGGAATAGCAATCGGGTGAATTTCGCCACCAGTATTTCTCGATTTCAACGTTGACTCGAAGTAAATTACGGATGGCAATCTACAAAAAAAGAAAGAAAAAAGTCAGCTTAGAGTTTAGTCTCTTTAGTTCGCACGAGAGTAAGAAGTGTAAATGCCGAGATGAGTCTAGCAGTATTATATCGGTGTTAGAAGCCTTGGCGCGAACTGACTTGCCTCAGGACGGTCACGTTATACCTCTACGTCACTTTTTCCACGTGGTACAGAATGCACTGCAAGAACGACGGAAGTTGTCTGATTTCTTTCTCTTTTTTTTTCAGGCGCATGTATAGTCAATGAAGACCTAGTTTCTTTAATCAGTCATATGAAACATATTAGGATGGCCACGTGGTATGTTCCCCCATTTTGGAATGCGATACTAAGGGTGAGGGCCTGCGGGTTCAATTAAAATTTACTTCAATTGTTTGTCGTCCAGCAGACTTCTTACCATACATGTTTTTTGTTTTTCTTTAACACACTGGAACAGTTTGAGACTTCAGATTACTACTGTTATGACAGCGGAACTCACGTGACGCTGGTAACTCATAATGAGTTCTAGAAATAATGGGGAACATCACGAATAATCCAGTATTTGCTAGGCACCCTCTATTCTTGTATATAAGTGCGCCAGACAATTAATCGTAATGGTATAGCAGACAGAGAGATTGAAGATATAGACAGACAATTGAGTTATGCGCGGTAGTAAGTAAAGTGCATGAATCGTTCGTTGTAAATTATAGCGTGTGTTTAAGTTAAGGTGACTGTTGAAATTAAGTGTATTGCAAAGTGGAATTGAGAAAGAATAAACTAGTTTTATTTGAGAAAGGACTTGTATCGCTGAAGTTCTTCGGAAAGAATTTTTACGAGTAATTAACAAACGACCAGAGACGTAACACTATAATATGTTTTTTTTTGTTTGCAGCGTTACAGTTTGTACTTGAATATGAACAGTATTCCACATTATGTATTATATTCTAAAATTTTGAACAGAGGGATTCGGAATAGCTATATCATTAACGCATTTGTCTTTTGTATGTTTTTCTATCTGTTTCACTAGAAATGTATAAAGTTTTTAGCCAGTCAAGTGATGCATTATTTCTAATAATTTGGAATCTTTTTTGTATTTGCCCTTTTTTGTTTACCATAATGGGGAATGGTATGTTTGTTTACAGCCACAAAACCTGCTGCTTACACAAGCCTTTCCACAGTGTGATGTGAAGTTGTGTGACTTTGGAATTTCTCGACGGATTACCAAAGGAAGCGAGATCCGAGAGATCCTTGGAACGCCTGATTATGTTTGTACGTTGAAGTTTTACAGTCCCTACTACAGAGAAAACCTGAATATGTTTACATATTGAAGTTTTACAGTCCTCACTACTGAGAACATCTGAATGTGTTTACATATTGAAGTTTTACAGTTCTCACTGCTGAGAACACCTGAATATTTTTAAATGTTGAATACTGAGAAAACCTGAATCTTCACATATTGAAGATTTACAATTGTCACTGCTGAGAACACTTGAATCTTCACATATTGAAGATTTACAGTTGTCACTGCTGAGAACACCTGAATCTTCACATATTGAAGATTTACAGTTGTCACTGCTGAGAACACCTGAATCTTCACATATTGAAAATTTACAGTTCTCACTGCTGAGAACACCTGAATATTTTTACATGTTGAAGATTTACAGTTCTCACTGCTGAGAACACCTGAATATTTTTACATATTAAAATTTTACAGTCCCCACTCCTGAAAAAAAAAAATTAATATGTTTACATGCTGAAGATTTACAATCTCCACTATTTATGTTTATGACTGAAACAGCCCTTAACCTGGGGGCCAAATAATACTCAAACTACAACTTGTTTTTTTGAAACAAGATAAATTCAAATAAATGAGTAAAATCATACTCGATTTTGTAAAAACATGAACAACACTAGTGAGAAAACCTGGTTTTAAGAGCTTAAAATGTTTTTTTTGTTGTTTTTTTAAATACAAGGACTGTTTAAGAAAGTCTTTTGCTCACAGAGAATTTTTATCAAATCATACATCATTCTAAGGCTTGACATAATAAAAATCCACATTATTATATCATTGCTAATTGTGATGATGTTCCCTTTTTTTTTTTTTTTCAGCTCCAGAGATTCTTCAGTATGAACCAATTTCTTTGGCTACAGACATGTGGTGAGCATAAAAATGTTTTCAATTGTTTTTTTAGGATACCTTTGCTCATTGCTTATTACCCTGTCATATATTGGCTATTTCTAAAGAGAAATAGCATTAAATGGACTTGTATTAAGTGATTAACTCTTTGACTTGTCACTTGATGATGGAATGAAAGAGTTTATGTTCGTGTTGGGATAGCAACTCGCACCAGTACTGATTAATCTGATCATTATCTTGTAAAGTTAATATGATTTTCAGACAGCCTGTTAAGTAAACATTAAATAATGTGTTATCTGGCATTATTAAATAAGTTATTGAATGTGTTTAAATGTAATGATGTTCAAAATCATCTTTATTAGGTTATTAATGTATCAGTTGTTAGACTATACATGTAGCTAGTAAGTATATTATTGAAGGTTTTATTGTAATTTAACCAGAAAGTGCATTTTAATAGGGCTCATGTAAGTGCTTAATTTGAAGGAATATTAGTTGTTTTAAAAAGAAAAGTCCACCAGTGGGTCAGCTGTGCATTTAGACTTACATCGCTGAAATCTTGAGTTCAATGCCTTGTGAGAGACAAAGTGCAGAAAGCTTATTGTGTAGCTTTACACTAAAATGAACAGTCATGAAGTTGTTTTTAAAGAGAAAAATATAATAAGGTCATTAAGTACTTAAAACTCTGAATAATGAATTTTATGTGGAAAAAAGTAATTTATATCTAGATTGCTAGTTGCAAAGTTCAAGAAACACATTGAACAGTTTTAAAACTAATCAAATAAATTAGATTTAGCCTAAAAAGTAATTATCTAAGGAAGTAGTTTGATGAAGCTCAGTTACCTTAAGCATTTTTAATTAAGGAGTTTGCTAATTTATTTCCTAATTAGATATTTCTGAATTATTGTAGTGGATTTTATCTTCTCTTTTCTGGTTTAATGGGGAGTAAAATAATTGAAATATAAGAATGCTACATTATCTTATGGTAACTGTTATTTACAATGTAAATCCTTTCATAGATAATACAATGTTCTTATTTGACAAGGATAAGGAGACTGTGTTCTATTAATTTTTATACATTTCTTTGCATACATTCAGTCATTAAAGTTATTCTTGTATATTTCTACTATAAGATAAAATATGCTAGTATATTTCAAGTGATGAATACATCAGTATCCTTCAAAACAGTAAACATGTAGGTGTAGAATAAAACCAGGAATTATTCTTTACATTTTTAGGAGTATTGGTGTCCTGGCTTATGTTCTTCTGTCAGGGCATACACCCTTTGGTGGTGAGACAAAACAAGAGACTTTTTGGAACATAACAAGTGGAATTGTGGAGTTTCCAGAAGAATTATTTGGTAGTGTCTCAAATGATGCTAAAGACTTCATCCAGAGGTTATTGATCACTGAGCCAAGGTAAGCTTTATGTATGTCAACTGATGTTGTCATCTAATTGAGTTGTTAATAAACCATCTCATTGTGTCCACTTCTGTTTACCTGTGAATATATTACTTTTTAAATTTTGCCTTATGATTGAACACTTTATGTGACAGGTGTAAATGATAAGGAAGACACTGATGTCAAAATTTGTGTGCCAGACCAGTTCTTATGATAGCTACAGCTTTAAAGTGATTACATGGTTAATGGTCATGACCACTATAGGCAGCTACTAAAGACATAAATTTTGAGGAAAGAACCAAGTTAAGACATTTAAATGTGATTATAGAAGTAAAATGTGTGTGAACAGGTATGTATGTCAATTACAGAACCAATTCAAAATAGGCTGGAAAGTAACTGTAGATTATCTGTAAACGTTTCTGAAGTTTAGTGGAGAACCACAAAGTGGCCACAAAACTCAAACTTTATTGTGACAAAAACTATCTGGTGTGTTTACTTAAATAAGACATATCTATGCAAGCTTAACATAAAAAATAGAAAATTGATAACTAATACCTTGACCAGAAAACTTTAAAACCAGAAAAAAAAATGATAACAATACACCATTATTGGCTATAAATCTTCATCAAAGCTGGAAACAGAGACTTACTGATGGAAAGCTGAAAAACAATGGTTGAGGTTCTAGTCTTGTTAATTGTTTTTATAGATCACACTATTGATTTATTCCTAAAAAATCTTGTTAAATTAATTGCTTATGATAAAACCAAGCTTTTTCTTGTTATTCAGTGAACGAATGACAGCTAAAGAATCCCTTCATCACTCTTGGATCAGAATGTTTTGTGACCCAGAGAGTCCTGGCATTGATGTAGCAAAAATAGGGTACACATTGAAGGATGAGTCAAATGCTGAGGTGTCAGTTTCAGCAGAAGTTGCTGAAGAAGTTACCAATGGTTCAGAAGTGCATTTGTTTGAGCAGTCCCAAGAAGGTGTAGGAGTTGTAGAAGGAAAATTACAGTATCAAATGCATCTAATCCCCGTGGACCACCACCAGAGTAATGGGACTGTTGATAAAGAAGTGACATCATCATCTGAAAAACCACACCCTTGTTTTTCTAACCTGAGCCCAAAAAACAGAGCTGTATCTGAAATGGAGGAAATTATTGTTGGTTTTGAAGGACATAATTTAAACAAACGTATGATCATTACAGATGAAAGAATGAGTATGGTATACTAGAATGTAAAGTTGGCCTACAGTTATTTCACCTTATTCATATTGTTTCCTGAAAACGTTACTGCATCTAGTTTGATTGTTGAGTTGTCATCAATTAGTCAGCCATAATTAAGATCAGTGAAGCTGTTGGGAATGAGTTAGATGAGTGTGAGACATCACGGCATTCCATAGAAGGATTGAAAAATCTATTTGGAATTATATTAATATATAACAAGGAAGAATACTGGAGTTTCTTCCACTGCAAGGCTAGTTAATCTAGGCAAAGAAGATCTGAGTTAGTTGTTTCTAACTGATTGATCTGGGTAATAAACACACATCCATAACTGATTGATCTAAGTAATAAACACATATCACAAACTTAGTCAGAGCATCAAGAAAATGTCCACAAAAAAAGGGTCCAATGGATTGGATATTTGAGATTTATAAGCACTTTTGTATTGACTTGTGTTGGAGTAGTATATTTGTACAATCTTAAGGGAACAACTTTTCTCTATGAAGATTATGATAATCAAGCCACTCAACAAGCACATGACCTAAGTTAATATTGTCCACTTGAAAAAGTAAACTTGAGACATACACATTTAGTATAGTATCCACTTTTCATGATTAAAAAAAAAAAATGTACTTCAACTCTTACTTGTGACATGTTAACTAATGAGTTATATGAAACATATTTCAACTCATACATGCAATATATTAACTGATCAATAGTTAATTATTTTCCTAAATTATGCTTCAAATCATTCACTACTAGCCTTCAATCACTGAATAAATCTGCACTTTCCATAAGACTGTATGAAGTGTTAGTTCCATTACGGTTGAGTAATAATCATTGTGATACATTCTCATAATGTTAATGGAAATGAGTTAGGAACAATGAATTATGTTTTGGTTTAGCTTAAAAAGTTTCATTCTTTGAACTATGAAAATTGCATGTAAATACCTTGTACATATCTTGTAGAAAGCCTACAGAGCTCAAATTAGATGTAAAGTTGTTAGTGGCAGGAAAACTAGATGATCAGAAGATGTTTGATCCTTTTGCAGCATTATATTTCATAACATTTGTACTATCATAGTGTTGATAGTTTTTTATTCATCATCTTTCTTCTGAATTGTAATCATACTGTAAATTAAACAGGTTCTTGTTAAGTTATTATAAAATTTAACCCTCAAACTTTAGTCTTTAGTAATTTGTGGAGATTTGTAAATATACAGTCTGTACAAATGCATTTATATATATATATAGTACATTGATGTTGAGTAATAAAATGTTTGGGTTGAGTGTTTTACAGAATGTTCTTTGTTTTATCTAATTGTAAGATTTTTCTTCACCTCAAATAAAATGGATTAACAGAATTTATTGTAACAAAATGGTCTCCTGCACTAATAATTTGCACAATTATTTACATTTACATAATAAAAACGTAAGTGAAGCTAAAGATTCTCATTAAAATTGGACATAAATAAACAGTGAAAGTTTAAATGTATACAAGAAAAATATTATACAAAATGAAAATAGTTGAAAAAAAACAAAGGTTGTTTGAGTTCTCATTCAGTATCTTGAGTAGTTCATCGTTTGATCAATCTGTGGTTAAAATTTTGAAATTATATATGGAAATAGAATGATTGTTTTTTACAGTGTAATACAGATAGAAGCACAAGGATTTAAACAAATTCTGCTTGAGAAATCCATAGACTTATAAAAATATATTTTTAATTGGTGTATTGTTTTATTGATATAGGTGACTTTACATTCAACAGCTCTATATTGGTAGACAACCCATGAAGATAGAGAAGTAGACAAAACTTCTTTAGTTCAAAACATGACAGGAATTCAAAATAATGAATTAAAAATCATTTGTAGTTTAATTGTAGATTAAAAAAAAAACAATTTAATTTCTGAATTTGATTTTGAATAAGAACTTTTCCCCCCCAAAAAAAGGATGAACATGAATGAAAATAATTGAAATGGTACAGGTTTTTTAGTGGGTTAGTTTTATTTTTCAAAAAGTTATGTAATAGTTTTGAAGTCTGCAAGTAGTAACCATTTTATCTTAAAATGTTTTGTAAAAAGAAAATACTTTCAGGCTGAATGGGAAAATAGGTAAAATGAACGTAGTAGGTTCTGCTGAGGAAGTTCAGTGTTTACTATCAGAGAGTGTACAGACTAATAAATGTTTTCTTTTGGTATGTGGTAGTCTTAGGTAAAACTGTAATTCACAGGCAAGTATTGGGTCCTGCAATATGTGAGGCTAGAAGGAAATGATTGCAGAAACATATAATGAGCATGGATAACAAGTAAAATAGACAAATGTAATTTGAAAAATAAAATATTTATTCCACCATGTGTTGTCCATTCTTTCATACAACTATAAGCTTTAACTAATGGCTGGATTCTGTTGCTCAAAATCTGATATTATATGTCTGCTTGAGCAGAAAGGAGAAAAACTTTTTTGCAGGACGAATACTAAAAGCTGCTGATTATACCACACACTCAAGTCAGAACTGTAGATATGTTATGATATCCCAGCATCCTAAAGTTGATGATCAGTACACCTTCAAGAGCAGATTAATTCTCAATTTGTACCAATACAAATCTCTACACCATCCTTTTACTTGAATGTGACTCACATTTTAGTGAAGTAGCAATACAGAAGTTTGTCCAGTAAGTATAATCATACTTGAATAGGCTATAGAGTGTAATCTCGACCTAAGGTGATGACAAAAACAAGTTAATAGTTGGTGTAGAAGATATACTTCCTGTTTATAATATAAAACACCTGCATATAAAATGTTGTAAAATAATTCTGAATAAATATATTTTATTTTCTAATTAGAGAAGGATAAAGTCTGGCAATTTTGAACTGTTATACCCCCCTCCCTCTTTCATCTTTATCCAAAGGATTGCCACCAAACATGCTCGCCCTTTCAGCCGTGAGGGCGTTATAATGTGACTGTCAATCCTACTA